ATTCAGATAGCTCATCTTATATAAGAATGGCAAGGTTTTTTTTTTAAATATTTTCCAATATTCAGACTTCATTTAAGTACAACTAGTTTAAATATTTTTTGAATTAAAGTATTCGAACTTTTTAAGTACTTTAAATATTTGCAGATTATTCTTATATTTAATTTAAAGTATTAAGACACTAACAGAACAATTCTATCATCACCAGTAATTTTTCCATTAGCTTCTGAACTGAACTTACTGAGAATAAATACTCCCCAGAGGTCTAAGTCAGACTATGGGCTGTATTAGCAAGGGTTGCCATAACAAAGTACCGCAGGCTGGGTGGCTAAGGTGACAGGTATTTATTTTCTCACAGCTCTAGCAGGGTGTCAGCAGGCTTGTTTCTCCTGAGACCTCCCAAGGGCTTTGCAGGTCACCCACCACCTTCACCCTGTGGCTTCAGTCCTCCTCTCTGTAGGTACATATCTGTTGTTTCTGAATGCCACAATTTTCTTGTCTATGAAGGCACTTGTCAGATGGGATGAAGGCCCATAATAATAGATCAATATTAACTTCCCCTTTTAGAAACCCTGTCACCTGCAACATGAACATAGGGTTTCAATATATGAATTTTTTTTGGTACACATAGTCTATGTCATAGCACAGACTGTGGAAAACACACTTTTAGAACATCATCTTAAGATTACAGTCTCTCATGTAATGTTAAACCAAGTATAGATCTCTGAGAATATCAATATTATGCCTTTAAAATTGCAATTGACTCACTGTCAACTGCCCTGGATTCAAGGTTCATATTACCTAATTTCTTTGTGTAACTTGAGTTTGAGGCCCCCTTTCAGGATGATAGATGTTCAATGAATCTGTGTATAATAGTCTATTTCTGAGTCATCTTCATATTCTTTCCATTTCCATGGCCATACTCATAAAGATTTAAATGGCATCTGATTTTAACCATACCCTGTGACAAATCTAAGATCTCACCAAAGGAATGAATGGGACAGGGGAAGCTTCTACATGGACGCTCATTAAGTGATTCCCACCAAGTAAGAGGAAACCATTAGGCATGAGTCCAGGAAAGCTAGAAAGCAATTTTTACTGAAACTACTGGCAGAATGCAGAACCCAGGAAGTGCGATATGTGAAATGTTCAAGATCGGCACTGAGAACAGTGGCCAAAAACACAGGGCCGAAAATTGAGCGAGCCAACCCAACTGCAGGGAAATTAAACAAGAAACTGGGCAATGAGAAACAGAATAAAGAGTGTGAAGAACCAGACGATTTGGCAAGCTCAGGTTGGTAGTTGGCCAAATCACTTTATCTCTCCAGACTCTGGCTCTTGAAGGTGACTGCAAAATCCAAAACATCTCTGATTTCTCCTTGCTGTTCCTCTAATCTATTTATAGACAA